CCTCCCTGGAGAAATGTTCCGGGCACGTCCCACCGGGAGGAGGCCCCGAGGAAGACCCAGGACACGCTGGAGGGACTATGTCTCTCTCTCTGGGAACGCCTTGGAGTTCCCCCGGAGGAGCTGGAAGAAGTGGCTGGGGAAAGGGAGGTCTGGGCCTCCCTTCTGAAGCTGCTGCCCCCACGACCCGACTCCGGATAAGCGGAAGAAAATGGATGGATGGATGGATGGATGGATGGATGGATGGATGGATGGATGGATGGATGGATGGAGAACAAGTTAAATCTCCAACACTTTTCTTTACATCAGAATGTCATTTTCTGTAACATCAAATATCAATCAAATTAGTGTTTGCAGATATAAATAGTAAATGGATTGTATTTGTATAGCACCTTTCTAACCAACCAGGATACTCAAAGTTCTTTACACTACAAACTGAGCCKTCATTTACCCATTCACACAGCACTCTACAAAGCTAACATGTACAAACTAATCTATGGAGACTAATCAGTGCTAATMACATTCATACACTGATGGGACACACATCATCTKGCAGCAAAACCATCCGGGCCAAAACCCCTCAGGCAGCAAACCATGGYGGTGCCCTTAGTCCAGAGACCAGCTTAAAAATAACAAACTAAAATAACAATCAGGGTGATCCAGTCTAAAATAGAGTTGCCAAAACAGCAAACAATACCAGACAGCACTTACCTATTAACCTCTCACCCCCACTCCAACCAAACATGCAAAATCCTCATGGACCTCCAATAACACAWACAAATGGACACGATGTCCCACAAAAACAATAAAGTTCCAAACACCTTCAACTGGCTCCAAATCTTACAAACATGAAATGCAAGTCAACCACTGTCAGGGGCATGTAACTGCCACCAGACCACACAAATAAGGCCAATCAAGCAAAAACAGTCCAAAAGAATTGGACGAGACCCCACATGATACGTCCACCAGGCTTGTTTGGTGGGATAACATGAAAGGAGACCACACAATGATTTGCTTGAAACAAAAATAATTTATTCAATTATACTAAAGAAATAAACCTAAAAGGGAATACCTGAAATGTTAAAACCAGATTCAGGAAAATCCAAAACTCATATGAATATTCCAAATATTAAACCCAAACCAAACCAAACCAAACCAAATGAGGATCAGGAGAGAGACAGCATGCTGCATGTGTAGCAGCTTTTAAGCAGCAATTTGCAGACCAGCTGCACCTCCAAACCATTCAAGAAAAAAAAAACAGCTATAGCAACACTGCAAGCAAGTTTGAAGAGGGACTTTCAAGAATCAAGAAATGCTGATTATCACAGATAAAATGGGGAATGAGATCAACTAGTTTTGGAACAATAAAAACGTAACAGTTCTCAGTTTGACTGATAAAGTGTCTGACCTCGCAGAGCAGATACCGAAAATCACAGCTGAGTATCCATGCTTGTCATTCCTGCAGGAAGTGATGTCATGTTATGAGACGATGAGAATAAAGTTTTTTAGAAGAGAATCARCTGGTTTTTACCAGCCTTCTGACTCGAGGCTGAACGCACTTACTGCAGCACAACCCGCCCTGCTCTGTTCTGACTGAGTAAAACTTTGACYGTGGTTCTCTTTATTGGTTGAAAGAACCATCAGTTTAATCCCMRKTT